ATGTATGCTTCAATACATGTGCCCACAATGGCCATTGTCTACATGCTGCTTTGACTTTTCATTTCAATGTCTACTAATCCTAAATCTGATATATCTAATTTTCTAATCTTTACTAAATTTGTGTTGCCCTCATTTTGACAGCATACCTAGGATCACACTACATGTGTGGCCAGATTTATAGTGTGGGAGGGGAAAGTGTCTGTATTTCCCATAACAACCTATTGAATTCCAACTCCTGTTTTTTTTAACTCCCCTCAGAAGGAAGGCAGATGAAATCTGATTGGCTGCTCTGGGCAACGCAGATACTTTTCCTTCCTTCTTTTTTTTATAAATCAGCCTCAGTATACTGTAGATGCACCTTGTTATTCATGGCTTTTGGAAGGTTAGTTGGCATGATAATTAATGTTAACGTATTAGCACGCTAAGCTTCTGAGTAATTTGATGTTTATTATCCTAATCTCTAAATAAATCAGGTATTTACATCTCTATGCACTTTATATTAACCTTTCATGTCTTTACCACAGTTATAAACATATACTAAAAGCAGTTTTGAATGTCACTAACACCTTTATTTCCCTAACCTTTTTGCTTTTGAAAGCGCAACTGGACCATAACTACTGATCAGTTTCTAACAAACTCAACGCATATACCTGCTTCCATTTGTGAAAAAAACTGCTGTTTTTTAAATTCCTAAAAAAAAGTCATTATATTTAAATACTGGTTGAAATAAATCACAAACTGTAATGTCAGAGTATTGTCTGGCAGGAGATGTCCACAGTTGAACCTTTCTTATGTCCGCTATTCCCCGTGGTGTTAATGATGTCTGGTCTCAGATGGTACATAGTGCTTCTATTTTATTCACACTTCACTATTACTGACAGATGCACAGAAGGGTGAAGGGTTACATTTATTCCTTAGGCATTTCATGAATATTGAGGCTTTCTTATTTCTCAGTCTGGTTATATTGTGTCAGTCAAATTATCCTATCAAGACATCTGGAGCAATGCAATACTAGTAAGCTGTGTGCTTGGTCATTGTTTAATTACATATGTATGATTGTACATTCTAATATTCTGTGCTTTTACGCACACACACTTCTGAAAAATTGATGGCTTACATTTGTTTCAGAACAAAATTTAAAGTGGAAGTCCGGTCAATACGTACCTAAGCTTAAAGCTGTTCCCTCCCCCATTCTAAGTCCTATACTAACTACCCTGTAAAGGAAAGATGTGCTTGCTTATCTAATCTAAGGGTACTCCAGTCAAGTCACAGGATTTCCTCAGGGGCCAGCTTCAGTGAAGAGGAGAGACCAACGACAATGGCTGCAGAGCATGGGCAATGACATCACCCTTAGACTCTCCATGGGATATTCATTGTCAGCTGTCCCTCCATTTCCCCAAAGCCAGCTTTGGGAGCCAATCTCGTGACCAGACCAGAGCAACCTTAGCTAAGGTAGATATACACATCTTTCCTTTAGAGGAAAGTTAATATAGGGCTTAGAGTGGGGGTGGGAGCAGGTTTAGTTTTAGTTTTTTGACCGGACTTCCATTTTAACCAGCTTTATTGCTGTGTAATCTAGATCAGTTCAGTTGAAACTATAGCAGAAAGTATAACTAAAAGCAAAACTTTTTTTAAAGTGTTTGGATAGGGATCAAGAGGGATTAAAACACCTGTCCATTGTTATTGTTGTTTGTGCCCTTTAGGGAGATTTGTCTCTTTGTCCTATTTACTATTCTCAGCAAAAGTGAACATAAAAGAAAATCCAAAATTATGGGATGTCACCAGAAAATTATAGAGGGGAATTAACCTAATAGGGACCCTAGTTCTGGTGACTCTGGTGGCAACCCAGGATTCCCTCACCTTGGAAGTATTTCCTCTCACTTTCTGTTGTGGCTACTGGACAGGAGGTATAAGGAAATCCCAATGGGATATAGATGGTATAAAAAAAAAAATTGGACAAGGGTTATAGCCCTGCCTTATTCTATCCAAAATGAAACAAAAAAATTGCATTTAGTTCTACTTTAATGTTATATTACCTTTGTCTTACATACAATTTCATAGCAGATATTTGTAGCAGAAGCTCCCCTTCAGTCTGTAGCTAGCTACAAAGCTGTTGCATTGACTGGACGTATGCAGCTACAAATTGTTTATGTGACGTAAACATCAGCTGTATTTTAAAGTAATGGAACCTACTGTAACTGATATGTCTTAGGCAGCTCAGAATGCTGTTCTTCTGTTTTTGATCTAGCCTTGAGAAACTGTTCTCATGCGCGTTTTAGAGAACAACATATCATCAAGTTTTTGTACAGTGTCTACACATTTTCTCTGTGCTGCTTTGTAGGGTTGGAAAAAGTAATTTTATTATTATTGCTATTACTTCTTAATTGCATAATGCATTTTTTACATTTGTGGAGAAATCCAAAGGCCATATTCAAATTTTTAAATATAATGTGAAAATGATATAAGTATAATGTGAAACCAAAAAAACCCTTGCACCTCCCCCAATTCCAAATTGGAAAAAACTTTCAACCCCCTGAAAGCTTAAACTCAAATCAATAATAGATCCAAACAGGAATTTACCCTCTTTCAATAAATCAACTATTGATGTAACAACAAAAATATTCCCCATATACTTTCTACAAAATCATAAATCCAGTGTCTCTGTGATTTAAATCCGATAATATAAAGTCCAGTGTCTCAATAAAGAAAAAATATAAAATTAAAAAAAAAAAATAAAATTAAAAAAAAAAAAAAAAAAAAAAAAAATATATGAAAAAGTATATTTCTTGCAGTGTTGATTGTTGTGAAGAACCTCAAAGAAAAAGAAACTCACAATAGTGCATTACCATAATATCACAAAAAAAAAAAAAAAAAAAAAAAAAAAAAATTTTAATATATATATATATATATATGTATATATATATAAAACACATGCACACACAAAATGTGTATCAAACAATTGTGCAACCTTTAAGTGAAAAATTGTATATTTAACACTTGTGAGAACCTTCCAAAAGGGAAAGGTAATAAGACACTTGTGCTCATAAATAATAAAATCATGAAGTGATCTACTTAGTGAGATTCCTCCCCACACGTGACACTTCTAGTGAGTAAGGCCAATATACCCTTACCAACAGTAGATGAAACTCACGCCTTTTATATATATATATAACTGGAAATCCTCCAAAGAAGCTTTATCCTCCTCTCCTTCTCCGCTTCCTGTTAGGATGATCTTACTATGCCTTCCACATACATAGGTTTATAAAATATGACGTACCTCCATGTATGTTTCAAGTTTTAATGAATCCACTTGTATAAGGAGTTGAAAACATAAGTATAAAAGTAGTATAAACCAATTTTGGACAAACCCCACTGAATGGGGATTACCAGGCAGTTCCCACAGTTCCCATGCAGTCCACTCTCAAGTGTCCAGTGATTCCTCAACAAAGATGGCCGCTGCGACACTGCGAAGTGTCGCAGCGGCCATCTTTGTTGAGGAATCACTGGACACTTGAGAGTGGACTGCATGGGAACTGTGGGAACTGCCTGGTAATCCCCATTCAGTGGGGTTTGTCCAAAATTGGTTATACTACTTTTATACTTATGTTTTCAACTCCTTATACAAGTGGATTCATTAAAACTTGAAACATACATGGAGGTACGTCATATTTTATAAACCTATGTATGTGGAAGGCATAGTAAGATCATCCTAACAGGAAGCGGAGAAGGAGAGGAGGATAAAGCTTCTTTGGAGGATTTCCAGTTATATATATATATATAAAAGGCGTGAGTTTCATCTACTGTTGGTAAGGGTATATTGGCCTTACTCACTAGAAGTGTCACGTGTGGGGAGGAATCTCACTAAGTAGATCACTTCATGATTTTATTATTTATGAGCACAAGTGTCTTATTACCTTTCCCTTTTGGAAGGTTCTCACAAGTGTTAAATATACAATTTTTCACTTAAAGGTTGCACAATTGTTTGATACACATTTGTGTGTGCATGTGTTTTATATATATACATATATATATATATATATATATATATTAAAATTTTTTTTTTTTTTTTTTTTTTTTTTTTTTTGTGATATTATGGTAATGCACTATTGTGAGTTTCTTTTTCTTTGAGGTTCTTCACAACAATCAACACTGCAAGAAATATACTTTTTCATATATTTTTTTTTTTTTTTTTTTTTTTTTAATTTTATTTTTATTTTTTAATTTTATATTTTTTCTTTATTGAGACACTGGACTTTATATTATCGGATTTAAATCACAGAGACACTGGATTTATGATTTTGTAGAAAGTATATGGGGAATATTTTTGTTGTTACATCAATAGTTGATTTATTGAAAGAGGGTAAATTCCTGTTTGGATCTATTACATATTCAAATTTTCCTACATTTTTTCTTATTGAGCAATACATAAAATGTAAATATAAATAAAATGTGATGTAGCGCTGCTTGCAGAATATTAACCACTTCAAGTCCGGACACTTTTACCCCCTTGCTGTCCAGGCCAATTTTCAGATTTCAGCGCTATCACACTTTGAATGACAATTGAGCGGTCATGCAACACTGTATCTATATGAATTTTTTTTGAGACAGATAAAGCTTTATTTTGGTGGTATTTATTCACCTCTGGGATTTTTATTTTTTTTTGCTATATATATGAAAAAGTCCAAAAATTTTGAAAAAAAGTGTTTTTCTTAAAAAATTTTTAAATAAATAATATTTCATCATAAATCTTGGCCAAAATTTATTCAGTTTTCTTTTTAGTAAAAAAAAATAACCCATATTAGTTTATGACCAAAAATCATAATTTATAAAATATTTTTTTTACATTTTTATTTAATTTTTTTATATTTATTATTTATGTTTTTTTTTCTACATACTGTCACCCTAGCAGTACACACCATGATGACACTGTACTACTTGTGGGCGGGTGATAAAGTTTTTTTTTTTTACACTGATTGCTTTTAAACCCATAAAGGCTGTAAAAGCAATCATGTCTCCTTCTCTCTGGCTGCATTCTTGCAGCCATTGAGAACTACTGTGTGAGCCGTGATTGGTCACAGCTTGTCACATGGTACAAGGCTGTTGTGAATAGCCTTGTACCATGTGACCTCTGTGATCATTCACAGATTTCACATGTAGTAAACAATGATGTCAGAAGCGACATCTTGCTTACTACTCTGCATGTGATCACTGACTGGCTAGTCAGTGATCACATGATCAGGACCTCGCACAGAGGTCCCTTACAACGATCAGTGTTCCACTGTGTCCGGAGGACACAGCGGGCACCGGATCGCGGTACTGCACGCTCCCAGGGAGCGCGCACAGTCCAGAATGGTGGGCAGCATTTATGAACGGCAACCCGCCCCTGGACTGCCACCTTCCGGCCATTTATATAGAGCGGACGGATTGCAAGTGGTTAAATAAACATCAATCCATCATAGTTAAACAAACAAAGTGAATAAGCTGGATACAAAGTGCTCATAATGCCTAAATAAATTATAAAAAATGTATATAGGTATCATCAATTACTACACAATCAAAGTGAAATGATTTCAAAGTGCTCCAAAAAAATATGTGTAAAGTTCATATGATTCCAAATGTAACATAATCCAACACCATAGAATGAGAATCCGTGCTTAATGTGAATTCCATGCATTAATTGGTGCCTCTTCTGTGCTCTCAGAACTCTCACCTCCAATGCATGTAAAACTGCGTGTTTAATGAGACATCCCCACAGCTGATCACTATCTCCTTTGGCCACTAGGGGCTATCCACTCCTCCTCCCATATGGTAGATGTTAACGTAACCTTAGGAATCCAACGTTTCACTGAATAACATTTGCCTCACCCAAAAGAGAATACGCCTCATATAGAGTACTAGATTAATAGAACTTCAGATATTTATTAAAATTGCACTTACCTTCAAAATAAAAGAGATGTGCTTTACAGATAAGAGATTGTGGCTTGTACTTCCTTTATCTGCCTCCGCTTATGCCCGGCGCATTGCATCACCATCAAGTGACGGTGACATCACATTTTATTTATATTTATTTTTATTTCAGTTGAATTGTGGGAATACAATTGATGATAGCAGCAGCATTCACAGTAGCAGTCACTCTTTGTACAGCATCCAGTAGGCACAGAAGTTTATTTCACTTATTTTAATACTTAAAATGTATTTCAATTTGTTCAATAGAGATATAAAGTTATCTATTTTTTCTGATTTATAGAGCACTAATTTAAGGTGAAAGCTAATGAGTCAACTGGTATATACAGATTGTGTGAGACAACTCTAACATCATTAAATGTATTTTTAGGGCCAAACTCTTAGGGAGATTCTGTGATATCCACTCTTGGGTATAATCTGTGAAATGCACTCAGATATTTCTAAATAAATATTTATTAATAAAGTCCTTCTTCAACAACTGATTTGCTAATGAGGTGATTGAAGGTGGCTGATAAAATAGTGTTCCTGTTTTTCAAGTTCTTGGAATAAGACATTTACCAGTAAATCATTGTTCTATGTATTGCTTTATTTTGTGTTTCGATTTTTGGTATACGCTTTTGAAATACAGTTATATAAAGATGTTTGGAGGAGCACTAAAACTTTTATAAATAATTTTAATTATACCTTAGATGTTAAATACCTGTCAGGCAAAAAATCTGACTTCAAATTGGAATTTGTTCATTCTCAAATGAAATGTAGCAGAATAAAATGCAGTCATAGTTCCCTTAATATTTACTCAAGCAGCTGAATGCACATATGTAATGAGGTTGCTTTTTATCCCACTCGTACGGACTTCTTGAGTTTAAGCATGTGAGGTATTTTAATATGTGGCAAGCAATTTACCTAGGTAACTGTGCAAATTGCATCTGACATCTCAAACGTGAGCAGAGAGAAAGAGGCTGAAAAGGAGGAGGAGGCTTTTCAAAGTACAAGTCACATTAATTCAGCAAATGCATCAATACATCTGTTCTGTGTGATATCTTTTAATGGAATAACGACATTGACAAGCTCTACTGAGCTAATCTCCTTTTAGCAGGGCAGAGATATGCTTCCAATTTTAAATACTCTTTACCTGGTGTGAGAACAACAAATACTTGGATAGTAAAAAAATGACTTTTAATTTTTACATTACATAAAAGTGCAGTACCTGTTGGGGGGGTTGTCCTTGGTAAAAGAAAACTTGAAATTAGATTACAGAGACTGCCTGAGGTGGGGAACTTACAATTTCATGTTAGGTATTTGAAATTGTACTTTTTTTGTGGATTTGAAATTCATGGATATAAGACTGAGTAGTTACATCAAGAGCCTCTGTAAGTTAATCAAAAAAGATACTTTTAATACCCCATTGAATACATGGATATATATTGATGCACTAGTCAGATATTCTTCTTTCTAATTGTTAAGACAACCTTGGAGAAACTGGCATGAAATGTTGTCTAAAAAATAGCTCTGCTAGCCAATGTAAGCTAATTTGTCTGCCGAGAAATGTAAATAAGGAAGCAAGCAGTGCATCAGTGCTGGTTAATCAAGGGACAAGTGCTGAACTTAAAGGAAACCTGTAATGCAGATCTGCCAGTTGAGTAGCTGTCTCTGGCTTTAGTATCTTCCGAAGCAATGACCTAAACCAAGTATGAAGTTTAGAAAGTCATAGTGAAAACAGACATGTTCCAAGTTGGTATATAGAAAGTATAAAGCTATTGAAACAGTATGACAGCCAGACAATTTTTTTTTTTTTATACTTATACTTGCATATTTTTAAATAAGATGTCATCCTTGTCCAGGTTTACTTTTAGATGCAAATTGAACAAAAATATTAAAACATAGGTTTTCCAGGCAAACACATTGTTTTCCCATTGTTTACTATTATATCATATCTTTTCACTATCTATCACTATTACTAACTTTTCACCATACCACGGTCTAGTATAAAATTAGACATATATTATACACTGCACAAAAAAAATTAAAGGAACACTTCTTAATCAGAGTATAGCATCAAGTCAATTAAACTCCTGGGATATTGACCTGGTTAGTTAAGTAGCAGAGGGGGTTGTTAATCAGTTTCACCTGCTTTGGTGTTAATGAAATGAACAACAGGTGCACTAGATGGGCAATGAGACAACCCCCAAAACTGGAATGGTTTTACAGGTGGAGGCCACTGACATTTTTTCCCTACTCATCTTTTCTGACTGTTTTTCACTAGTTTTGCATTTGGCTAGGGTCAGTGTCACTACTGGTACCGGTAGCATGAGGCGATACCTGGACCCAACAGAGGTTTCACAGGCAGTCCAACTCCTCCAGGATGGCACATCAATACGTGCCATTGCCAGAAGGTTTGCTGTGGCTGCCAGCACAGTCTCAAGAGCATGGAGGGGATTCCAGGAGACAGGCAGTTACTCTAGGAGAGCTGGACAGGGCCATAGAAGGTCCTTAACCCATCAGCAGGATCAGTATCTGCTGCTTCGTGCAAGGTGGAACAGCATGAGCACTGCCAGAGCCCTACAAAATTACCTCCAGCAGGCCACTGGTGTGAATTCCTCTGACCAAACAATCAGAAACAGACTTCTTGAGGGTGGCCAGAGGGCCCAACATCATCTAGTGGGCCCTGGGCTCACTGCCCAGCACCATAGAGCTCGATTGGCATTTGCCATTGAACACCAGAATTGGCAGGTCCGCCACTGGTGCCCTGTACTTTTCACAGATGAGAGCAGGTTCCCCCTGAGCACATTTGACAGACGTGAAAGGGTCTGGAGAAGCCGTGGAAAATGTTATGCTGCCTGTTACATCGTTCAGTATGACTATTTTGGTGGTGGGTCAGTGATGGTCTGGGGAGGCATATCCATGGAGGGATGCACAGACCTCTACAGGCTAGACAATGGCACCCTGACTACCATTAGGTATCGGGATGAAATCCTTGGACCCATTGTCAGACCTTATGCTGGTACAGTTGGTCCTGGGTTCCTCCTGGTGCATGACAATGCCTCATGTGGCAAGAGTATGCATGCAGTTCCTGGAAGATTTGATACCATTGAATGGCCCCCATGCTCGCCTGATATGAATCCAATAGAACACCTCTGGGATATCATGTTTCGGTTTATCTGACACTGCCAGGTTGAACCCCAGACTGTCCAGGAGCTCAGTGATGCCCTAGTCCAGATCTGGGAGGAAATACCCCAGGACACCATCCTTCATCTCATTAGGAGCACGCCCTGACATTGTCAGGCGTGTATACAAGCACATGGGGGCCATACAAACTACTGAGTACCATTTTGAGTTGCTGCAATGAAATTTCAGCAAAATGGACTAGCCTGCTGCATCATTTTATCACTTTGATTTTCGGAGTGTCTTTGAATTCTTTCCTCTGTAGGTTGATAATTTTCATTTCCATCAAACATCAATGGTGCATCCTTATGTTGCTAACAGATTTCCCAGTCCATATCAGTATAGAAATCTTGCATGATATTTTTCCTCATTGAGATCTTATGTATTTTCAAAGCGCTCCTTTATTTTTTTTGGAGCAGTGTATGTTTTCATTGGGATTGATTTACTAAAACTGAAGAGTGTAAAATCTGGTGCAGCTCTGCATAGAAAAAAGTCAGCTTCCTGTTTTTTTTGTCAAAGCTTAAGCCCCTGATCACATCAAAGCAGATTTTGAAAGCGTGTGACTTACAGTGAAGTTGCACGATTTCAAAATCGGGTGACCTAACGATTTTAGTTGAGATTTGCAAGACATCTGACACAGATGTCTATGCAAATTGCAACAAAAGTAGTGCATGCTCTACTTTAGAAATATGAACGCTCTAATAGTGGACAATAGGGTGCGACTTGGCATACGATTTGCAAGTCGCATGGCATGCAACTCGCATGCCAAGTCGCACCTAATATGACCGGGATGTAATTGAGTAAATTGAAGTTTGAAAATGATTGGCTACCATGCACAGCTGCACCAGATTTTGCCTTCTCTGGTTTTAGCAAAAATCAATCCCATTGCACTCGTGTGCTCCTAGCAACACCTGAATTGGAGGATAAACGCACCTTTTGAATTAAAGAGGTTTTAAGATTGATCATTACCACCTAGTAGTCAAAGTGGTATTAGTTTATTTTTTTCATGCACATTGGCTTTGTCTATAAGGGAGATAGCATTCATTATCAATTCCCATTATTGTCTTTGGATTTGGGTGAACCTTTAATTGCAAATGGAACTCAGGCAACTAGCATTTTATTTGTTTAAAGCTTAAAGCACGTAAGAGTTAGAAGAAGGTTTGCTGCTGTCTGTACCCCAGCTGATGAGATTCCCTTGTGTCCTGTCCCAAAACCACACAAGAAATATGGAACAATCTGCCT